GTACGTTGTTCCCTTACCTTATCTACTCTCTCAATCTCTTCTTACCGTGAGGAAGTGAGTCCAACTTGAGAGTCCTCTCTTTTGGTGAGGTGTCGTGAGCGCGCTACCTTGAGAGACGACAATCTTCCCGGAAGCATCTGGAAGGAGAAAGGGCGGTGCCTTTGAAGGGCCCTGGTCGAAGCACTGGGTCACGGTCACCATGCCAAACCACTGGGAGTAGGTCACGCATGCGATGGCTGCTGTCCATTTTGGCACTTGCTGCGCTAAATAGAAGTCCTGCCGGGTGTGCCAGCCCATGACAGACGCTTACCAGACCGTCTATAAACATATCTGGTTGGGAGTTCATTGTGAATCTGGCTGTGATCGTCGTCCTGACTGCGACGTTAAAGAATTCCTGAAGAGATGGGGGCCTGTAAATTCCTCCTGATCAGCCAGATCACATGGACAGGAAGGCTCGTCGCCGTACGAGGGTAAATAAGACTGGTTGGGCTGGCTTGCTCGGTAACGACTTGGGCACGGGGGTGGGCCGAAATACACACGAAGATACTGCCTGCTCAATGATGTTGTTCGGTATGTTGGATTGAGGGGAGGGTAGGTTCCAATTGGTGCTCAACTGAATACACAACCATACCCACTCATCATACATCTGCAACATGGTCTTTTTGTATTTTGACTAGGTGGTGGATAGACTGCTAACACCTCACAGACAGAATTAGATTAGGACTGTTGTATGCTACCATAGCCAGTTATGTCTAATGCTGCTGTAAGTGAACCAATCAGAGTACATCTAGACTATGTAGACAATCTGTTGTGAATGTTGTAGACATGCCACTTGATCGGTACAGTAGGGGACCTGCCGACACAACTATTTTTAGAAAATTAGGTGTCGGTCAGACACATGCTGTGGTAGGACTTCAATAGGGGGTTCTAGTGCAGACAATGCTTGCCTAATTCATGAACGGGTCAGACGTCGATGAGGAGAGAGTTGACGATGCTAGACTAACACGTGCAAGGTCACGTCGGATCCCGCACGTGTTCCAGGCCCTACAACCGGAAGACGAAAGACGCATTCGTGCCGAACGCAGAGCCCGTGCTCTCGCAGCATCGAGAGAGGCAGCAAACGCTGCAGCTAGGGAACAGGTTGCAGCAGCAGCCAGGGCAACAACCATGTCTTCTGCAGCAACATCCTCCACTGCATCTTCTGTTGTCTCCTCGTCTGGACCCCAGTTGGGAATGCCAACAGGGTCCGCGGGCACTTCCAGTTCAGTAGGATCACGTCAGTCTACAAGTCAAATGGCGGGCTCGCAGTTCAGCCCGTTGACTCCTCGCGAAAGGGAGCTCAGGGAGCTCCAACAGGTCGAAAGGATCCGTGAAAGATTAGAGAGGGAACTGAAACAAGCTACCGACAGAGAAAGGGAAATCAAACTTAGAACAACTAGGCTTGATACATTAGAGGCTGACAAAGCTGAGTTAGAGGGTTTGGATGACTCAGGAATGAATGAGCCCATGAAAGTCATGAGGAACAACATGTTGTCGCTGCATGCGCACGTGGACAGCAGGTTGGACTTTATGCAGAGCACTCTAGACCAGATCCTGGACGCTTTGACAAGTCCAGGATTTAGGCCACCAGCACAATCGGCGTTGCCGTTATCGGCGATGTCAGGCCCCTTTCCAGTTCAAGCTGGTACACAACCAAGTGGTACGTCTGCAGCAGTCGCACAGACTGTTGCATCTTCTTCTTCGGGTCCAGCGGTGGGAGCTACACCACCGCAACAACCTGTTCAGCAATCTGGACAGCCGCAGGGGCAATGGTATCCTAAGACCCCAATGAAACCGCCTCTTGCCTTCTCAGGCGAGAGAAAGGACGAAGAGCTCAACACTTGGTTGAGGACAGTCCCGGTTTGGGTGAAGGCCAAGAGGACCTTGCTGGAGGACGAAGTGGTTACCGCTGCATCTTACCTCGAGGGTAAGGCAGCCAAGTGGCTAGATGGTGTAGTTGTAAAGGCTAGGTACGGGCGACGTATGGCGGACTGGGCTAAGTCTTTAACGTTAGACCAGTTCATAGAGATGGTAGAAGCTCGATGGCATAATCCACAGGAGGCACAAAGAGCCACTGATGCGATTAACAAGTTAGACCAACGAAAGTTCAAGTCGGTTAGAGAGCTTACGACTACCGTTGAGAGCCTGATCCTCGTTCCAGGCATCAATTACAGTGACCAGTTCCTGTTAACTACGTTTGTTAGATGTCTTCCAGAGAACATCAGGAACTTGCTGGCCAGTGAGGCACGCATCGAGTACCATTCGTTTGAGACATTGTCTAGGAAAGCCTTAGATTTAGAGGCCACTCTAGGCAATGCCCAGCCCTCCCAGAATGACACGAAGAAGAAGAAGAGTCCTCATGATGGTTAAGTCCGATGGGACTCAAACGGAAATCGATGAGCTCACTGACCTGATGGACTACTCAGAGTACGACGACGAGGAGACCGCTGAGGGTAGCACCCTCGCCGCAGTTGTAAAGGCTAAGGCAGGTGGCCGAGGGAAGGGCCAACCAAGGAGTCAAAGGAAGGCTGCCTCCAATCAGACCAAGCAGGCTGATTGGGTGAAGGCAGGCCTTGATCAAGACGTATGGCGTGACCGCCGAGTGCGTGGCGCTTGTATCAACTGCGGGGAATACGGTCACTCGCAGTACAAGTGTCAGAACGCAAAGGTTACGCAAAAGATAGCTCCAAAGATGGGGGCATCTTATTCCCAGGCTTCTAGCTCGGGAAACGCGTTAGGCCAGTGGAAGTTTTAGCTGCTTCTACTCTTGGTGAAGTGGGCCAGATACCCTCTCCACTTCACGAGAAGGCCAAAGCTAATGACTCCTTAGTCACCCCGCAGACTCATCTAGACCAAACTATGCTCTGTACGTTAGATGTGTCTGATACCTTGGAAGACTTCGAGAGTGAGTGGTCAAACAAGGACCCTCGCGAGTCTTGGGTGGCGCTAAGGAAAGGTCCTAGAGGGGAACATTTCGTGGTGGAAGTCGATGTAGGAGGCCGCAAATGTGGTGCCTTCATAGACATAGGCTCTACGCGGAATTACATAAGTCGCGACTGTTTGGAAAGGCTGCACCTACAGGACCAGGTACGGCACCTTAGTAGACATGTAGCATCTACTTTGGCAAAGAAGGAGCGCATGATTGTAACAGACTATATCAAGGACGTAGTCTGTACCTTCTCGTATGGAGGAGGATAACTTAATCATAAGATTTCATTCTTGGTTAGCGACGACTTACCATTCGACATGTTGTTAGGCATGTACTACCTCGAAGTTGCTAAGCTCTAGTTCGACTGGGGTAAGAAGGTGCTCAAGCATAAGTTGCCCGATGGCCGAACTGTCAGATTGACTAAGTTCAAGGCCAGTACTATTATAGATACCTATGGCTGCTTGTCTGCATCAGCGTTCTACAATTACTATAAGCAAAACCAAGAGGAAGGTATGTACCTTGTGTATGTCTCTGAGAAAGAGGAGGCAGTTAAAACACCCCCAGAGATAGAACGCGTCGTTGCTAAGTTCCCTGATCTGTTCGAAGAGCCCACAGGAGTTGTTGACAGGGAAGTTGTCCACGCTATAGAAATCATTCCAGGGAGTAAGACCCCAAAGGGAAGGATCTATAGGATGGCTCCCGCCGAGTTAGATGAGCTTTGGCGACAACTTAAGGAGTTGACAGAAAAGGGATGGATTCGGCCTAGTACTTCCCCTTACGGATCACCCGTTCTATTCGTACYGAAGAAGGGGGGTACTTTGAGGATGTGCATTGACTATAGAGGCCTCAATGCCATCACAGTGAAGAACGCAGAGCCTCTACCTCGCATAGACGACCTATTGGATAGGGTGCAGGGATGCAAGTACTATAGTAAGATAGACTTGAAATCCGGATATCATCATATCACAATAAGACCTGAGGACCAACACAAGACAGCCTTTCAAACCAGATACGATCTGTATGAGTTTGTAGTGATGCCCTTTGGTCTTTGCAATGCGCCGGGTACATTCCAGCACGCTATGAATCGGATCTTCCATGACCATTTAGATAAGTTTGTCGTGGTACACCTTGACGACATTCTCATCTTTAGCAAGTCTGCCGAGGAGCATGCAAAGCACGTTGAGACTGTACTCTCACTCCTGCGACAACACAAGTATAAGGTCAACTTAGAGAAGTGTGAGTTTGGTCGCTCTAAGATACTATACTTGGGTCATGAAGTATCCGCGGAAGGGATTAGCCCGGAGGATGCGAAGGTGGCTAGTATTCGAGACTGGCCACGACCTCAGACTGTCACTGAGGTCAAATCTTTCTTAGGAATGTGCGGCTACTATAGGAACTTCGTAAAGAACTATTCTACAGTCGCCTCTCCTTTGACTGATCTAACTCAACTTGACACCCCGTGGGACTAGAGTGATGAGTGCGAGGGTGTTTTCAAGAGATTGAAGCATGCACTCATGAATCAYGAGGTTCTCATGGTTCCCGATCCTCAGAAGCCATTCCTAGTGACCACTGACGCAAGCCAATACGRCATTGGCGCAGTGCTGGCTCAACAGGATGGGAAAAAGTTGAGACCGATTGAGTACATGAGCAAGAAGATGCCATCGAAGAAGTTGGCAAAGTCCACCTACGAAAGGGAACTCTATGCTCTATACAAAGCACTTGTCCATTGGAGACACTTCCTATTGGGAAGGTTCTTCTACTTTAGGACTGATCATCAGACCCTCAAATGGATCAAGAGTCAACCGGCTCTTTCTGACACACTCAAGCGATGGATTGAGGTCATAGACCAATATGAATTCAAGCTTGAGTATCTGAAGGGAGAGTATAACAAGGTTGCTGATGCGCTATCACGTAGAGCAGACTACCTAGGTGCGCTAGTTTCTGACTTTGGCGTATCTGAAGAAGTAACTCAATCATTGGTGGGAGCCTATCAGGAAGACCCTGTCATGATGGACATCATGCGCAAACTTCAGGCTAAAGACAAGGCCACGGAAAGTGAGTTTGTGATGGTGGACGGGTTACTCTTATCTTGATAAGGTCGGAATAAAAAGATTAGTAGTTGCATCTAGTGAACCTTTGCGTAGTTTGTTCTTAGGAGAATGCCATGACGCAACGGGACACTTCGGCTACAAGAAGACGAGTGCTAACCTAGTACAGCGATTTTGGTGGCCAGGAATGTTAGATGACGCAAAGAAGTACGTAGAGACCTGTCAGGTCTGTCAGTGGGACAAGCCGCGAACTCAAGCACCGCTTGGGTTGTTGAAGCCTTTGCCTATTCCCGCTTGTCCAGGACAGAGTGTTTCCATGGATTTCATGGACACCCTGGTGACTAGTAAGAGTGGCAAGAGGCACATCTTCGTCATCATCGATCGATTCACCAAGTACGCTAGACTAGTGGCTATGCCAGAGACCGCAAGAATTGACTATGTCATCAAGTTGTTCAAAGACAACTGGGTGCGTGACTTTGGTTTACCAAAGTCAATCGTTAGTGACCGAGATGTCCGATTTACAAGTGAGTTGTGGAAGAAGACTGCAGAACAGATGGGCAGTCAACTTCAGATGACTTCAGGGAATTATCCCGAAGCCAACGGACAAGCCGAGCAAATGAACAAAGTTGTACAACACCTGCTGAGGCATTACATCAAGCCCAGCCAGGATGATTGGGATGAGCAGTTGCCTCTCATCGCCAGCCTGTACAACAATGTTGTCCACAATAGTATCGGCGTTAGTCCTAATCAACTTCACTTGGGATGGAAGCCTAGATCAGCATTAGACTTCCTCCTACCTGAAAACCGACCCGCTGCAACTTCAGGCACACTTGAGTATGGTGTGCAGTATGAGAAGTTGCTGCAAGAAGTTGTCGAGCACATAAAGAAAGCTCAGCAAGCAATGATTGCTTCTGAGAATCAACACCATAGATAGTCCACATTTCAGGTAGGGGAACGTGTCTGGGTCAAGGCTAGTGAGTTAGGACAGGAATTCGGAATCTCTCGCAAACTAATGCCTCAGTACTTTGGTCCCTGGGAAGTCCTGGATATAGTGGGAGATGAGATGGATGGCCCCACATATGTCATTCGTGTCCCTGGACACCTACGCACTCACCCAGTCTTTCATGCCTCAAAGCTTGCACCTTTCACTGAGACAGATCAATTCCCTTCCAGGAGATCGATGCTGCCCTCAACCATGGATGGTCAAGTGGACATCAACGACATTGTGGATCACAGGGATATGCCTGTTCCAAAGCCGCTGGTCGAGGAAGACCTCTTAAACCCAAGAGAGAGTATCGCGTCAGATTCAGGCATCATACGGATCCAAAAGAAGATCAGTGGTTTACCAGAGAGGAACTGATTGAGACAGCTCCTCAGGTGGTGGCAGAATATGAGAGACTGCTGAAAGGGAAGGCACCTGCGAAGTAAGCATCTCAGCGGACTTTCGAAGCTAAGGGGGACGGAATGTGAGGATTGAACCCTCAAGAAGGGGCCTTGCCATGATGTACATGTTCTGGGCTAAGGCCCCAGCAAGCCTAATGCCCGCCCTAAGTGAAGGCGGGCCAGCAAATCAACAAGAGCCCTCTGTGCAAACATTTCCTGAAGTGGGGTCCATACAGTTGCAGCACGCCAGTTGGTTGGAGTGCACCGAGTCTTGAATCTCTGCAAATGTGGACATCCCAGGGCCTCTGAGTTA